TATTTTGAAATTTAATAAATTCCGATATTTGTATTATTTGAAATTTGTATTATTTTGAAATTTAATAAATTCCGATATTTGTATTATTTGAAATTATATGTCATTTCATCAAAATAAAGTTCGAAAAAGATACTAATTTCAGCGAATATGAAATTTTCTATTGACTGGATTTACCGCTAAATAGACGTTTGAACTTCTCCTGCCTGAAATTCGGTATTTCGTTGGTATAAATCGGCCAAGAATATGATGAACTGGAATAATACAGTCGCGGGATTCTAGGTAAAACTCGGTACCCCATAATTCAACATTGCATATTTCGTCATCTCTAACTCTGAAATGATACCAAATATTTGATGATTCTGCAGGTTTATACCAGCGAATAAATGCTAGATTATGTTCGGATAACCCATCCGGCAAATTAACGGCATGTGTAAAAAAGTATTGGACTTGTCCAGGATAGCAATTGATATCACCACTTTCTGTCATAAATTTTGCCAAGATAAATGAGCTTTTTACATGACGTGATGATATCGAAGAGCTGAATATTTCAGAACCAATTCGGCACCTTCCAAATTGATTCATTTTAACTTGAACTATTATCGAATCTTCTGCACCCTCTCCAAATGGTTTCCAAAATTCCATCATTTCGTAGCTCGCCATGTAGTATTCAACTATTAAGTCAAGCATATCACTTGAAATTACAATATCGTTAAATACTGGTCTGAGCATTTCGCCCAGAAATGCTTCTTTTCCTGTGGTGGTCAATTCATGAATGTTTCTTGAAGTCAACCAAAATCGCCTCATTTCATCAGCAGAAAATTGGTCGGCTTCTGATAGAGATCAAACAGATGGTCTATTACTAATCAAATCTAGGCCCTTTGATTCCACGCTGGAATTAATGATATTACTGATTTGATTATCAAACATCAGGCGGCGCATAATTTCCGGTTCAATTTTCCTTCTGCTATTCAGAAAAGAGCCTAAATTTATTTTAAACAAAAGTTGATAAAAATGCATTATTTTAGAAAGTAACAAAAATATTTAAAATATTATACCTAGCATGCCATTCATGCGCTCAAAGGAAAAACACCAGAATGTATATAAAGGTCCATAGTCGAGTGAGCATTCACATAAGTGAAGTGATAAATGTAAATTCGGTGTGATTTTATCACGACCGTAATTTTCTTCTATCAACTTTACTAGGTTAATTAGCCTCTGATGCGCCTCTCTCATGAAATCAACTTCTACAATTCGACTTACTGAAATTGAACAAATTCTCACAAAATTCACGAGAATCTTCTGGTCATTCTCAGAAAGATGTTCCCAGAGAGAGACCGTTGCATATATTGTAAAAAATATTTGCCATTGATCTGCAGTAAAATTTGAAAACCCATCTCCACAATCGACTTTTCCCGGGATTCGACCCAAGTCAGCTGGAACTTTAAATTCATCCATTTTTTTCTGAACTGTTTTCAAAATATGTGTTGTTAATATGCCATTTTCGATTCAAAGTCTTCTTACAATCCATTTTGCGATGTCCAGAAACAAGCAGTGCATCGGGTCGATTGTAATGAACCGAATTGAATCGAAATATGGTAGACGCAATAATTCAGACCATCTAACTCCAGTTTGCTTTACAAATCGTTTTTTTGCTGCGTCCGAATTACAGCGTCTCCATCCTATAGCATCTTGACGATGTTGAGCTGAATCACGGCAAGTAAACCATTCGTCTATTTCATTTATCTCAGCGAAATTATGCTGCCGATTTTCATAATTCGCCTTCTTTTCGCATCTATGACATGACACCAAAGCGGAAATATGTCCGCAAATTTTTCTTGCAGCCGGTATGTCACATGAAACAAGAATCAGAGCTGCGCGAATTCTTTTCCCTTCTTGACATTCATACGTTTAATTTAATGTCACTCCTTCCCAAAGTGACTTCAACTCATCAATGATTGGCGCCAGATAGTGATTAATCTTATGTAAACTTACTTCATCTGGGCCGGGTAATAAGCCAAAAATCAAGATATTATTACGCTTGAATCTGACATCCCTCGGAAAATTACCGATTGCAGCGTATATTACTCCGGTGCTGTGGATTGTGCCGTCGAAGGGTTGAAACCAATCCAAATTCAAAATCAATCCGAGGTGCGAATCAGCAACATCAGATCGGAAAAAATTATTCAAACTTTCATCTGTCGTTTCTTTAAAAGTTTTCCAAACTTCACCATCGTATATATCAGTTAGGATATTATCGAAAGTTGGACGATTTATCCAATGCCTTAGAGAATTTTCAAAGTTAGGTTGACGATACATTGCTTCCAATTGCTGCTTAATACTCACAAACGGAAATAATAATTCAGGTTTGATTGAAATTTGGTTATTTAACAATGTTGTTTTCTGTGCCAAAGGTGTTTGGCACAACCTTAATCTTCGAGTTGTCGAATTAGGAAATTCGACATGGCAACACTTCATGATGGCAGGTTGCTCATTTTGGAGAAAACTTTTTATTTCCTGTTTGTTGTATAATTTGTGGCATTTGGAACACGCCACAAAACTATGAAACCGGTCTTCAAGATTAAGGGCTTTTCTTGCTAGATATAAAGTGTCAGGAAATGTGTCAAAATCAGGACTACCGATTTCTGTTAGAACAAGCTTCAAGAATTTTATCAATGATTCTGTAGCTGTTTCTGGTAAGTTAAACCTGGTTCGGAAGCTCATGATCCATAATAATATCCATAAGAACCGATTATTTATTGATTGTTCAGTATCAGAATCTTGAAATGGTTCGAAAGGTGGACATGAATAATTTTCAAAAATTTCGTGGTATTCGTCATCATTGGATGGTTCATTATCGGATGATTCATTTCTATCATCGATATTTGCATCTTCCTCCGTAGTATATTCAGAAGATTCAGAAGATTTATCATCTACTATATCTCCTAATTCAGCAATTATAACCGGTCGAACATATTTTCTTGATCGTTGTCTACTAGGCAATTCAGCTTCTGATTCTCTCATTCGTGGTTCATCTGATATTGAGGCACTTTCGTATGGTTCATCACTAGGCAATTCAGCTTCATCAGGTAGATGTACTTCTGTTCTTTCTGAATCATCATCCTCTGAATCTTGGTTAATTTCATGGATAGTTTTCGTACGAGGATCTACTAATCGTCCATTACATTCAGAACAATTACATGCAACTAACCTTCCAATACGTGATGATGTAGGATAAGATTGATTTGAAGATTCTTCGTCAATTATATTTGACACTGATCTGGTTCTTTGTATACGTGATGAAGGTATGGCATGAGGTCTAGAATCTGATTCTTCATTGAGTATACTTGATAATGATCTTTTTCTCGTCATTTTTGTGAACGTTTTTCGAAATAAAGTTAATTGTTAATAATATATCAATAATATCAATATAATTCGTTTAAAATACTTAAATTAGAATAAATTTTATTAAAATCATCAACTGCGTCGATGTAATACTAAATTTATTAAAATCATCAATCTACACTTAAATTATAAATATAAATCATTCGATTAATAATATTGATAATAAAATAGACTATTCGATCGATCAGTATGATGGCGAAAGTTTCTTAAAGTTTAATTTTTTAAACAACTTCATTTTTTCTCACCAACCTTTTTCTTTTTAGAGTTTAATCTTTTTAGAGTTTAATTGTCGATATAATACTTAAATTATATTAAATTTATTAAAATCATCAACTATCACTTAAATTATAAATATTACATGATGTCGATTTGCGTTCAAATCGTTCGATTAATAATATTAATAATAAAATAGACTATTCGATCAGTATGATGGCGAAAGTTTCTTAAAGTTTAATTTTTTAAATAAAACTTCATTTTTTCTCACCAACCTTTTCTTTTTAGAGTTTTAACGTTTAATACTCTTCGCAACCAAAAAAAAAAATAAAAAAATAATGAGCCAAAATTCGCAACCAAAAAAAATAATGATCCAAAATAGAAAAAATAAAAATACTGAAAAAGGTTTGGCTAGTGATAATCGAAATAAAACGATTACTAACATCAATAAAAGTTCGTCCAATATCCAACAAGCTGTTGAAGGGACTGCCACCCCAATTCATGAGCGAGCTCAAAGTGTAAAAGAGAAATATAAAAATCTTCGGCTTCCGGATTCGTCCAATACTCAACCACCATCTGCTGCGCCAAGTCATGAACGAGTCTAAAGTGTAAAAGAGAGATATAAAAATCTTTGGCTTCCGGTCAGATATCAAACTAATGAACCTACCCGCAATGATGATGATACATCAACAGGTCTGTATCGTGTATATATCGTCAGTTAGATTTAGTATTTTTTTTTTGTTGATTTTACATTTTTATACAGAGAATCGGAGGTTATCTCAAGAAGTATCCGATTTGCGTGCGAAGTGTTTACAGTTAGAACGACGAAATAATGAATTAACCAAACATACAGCTGTCGTTGCCACTAAAATAGCTCGCTTACGAGAAGATAAAGAATTTATTGCTGGTGTTAACGCAGAATTCGGTTCTGAAAATGACGACTTGAAAGAAGAGGTTAACGAATTAAAAATGAAACTCGAACAATACCAGATACGATCATCATCTGAAAGCCTTGATGTTATTGATGTTCCAGAAGAACGGTTAGCAAAACGGTTCAAATCGGATGGGTCAAAAAAAGTAAAGAAGACGGTACAC